AAACAATAAGTACCAATTTTATCTTCTGGCAGGTGAGTATCATGATTTAGTTCAAGCACCTAATTTTTCTTTTCTACGCAGTGCTATGAAATGCTATCAATGCGTGTAGCTTCCATGAAACCCACTAAAATTCATAAGAACATGATGGGAATTGGTTTAAAAAGTCGACTGTGTCTTTATCATGCCATACAAGTAATAAAGGACTTGTTTTCCAACTTATTAAATTCCAACATAGGCCTTGCATGGCCTTATTGATTCTCTGTGTTTGTGTTCATGTTTTTTTTTGAGTTTTGAGGTATGAGATTGTTAGGAGTTAGGATAGGGCAATCTATTCCTGAGCAGACCCTGTTGAGAAGGGAAACACTATTGATTAATTGATTCAAGGAATAGAAGCAAGAACTATTTCCTGTGGAGATGCTTAAGGTAACAGGAAAGGGAAAAGAAACATGTTCTCATTTTTATTAATGTGATATTTGATCTTGTCTGGAATCATTAAAAGGTTAAGTTGAGGACTTAATAAATCAAACATGTATCCATTCCGGCCATCTTGAGACTATACGAGGGTTTAAATTCACCCCTCTGATTATTATGGCTGATTGAGGTAGGACTGTTAGCTGTTGATAGTCCTTTTATCCACTGTCCCAAGATGATCTTTGATTAACAAAAGGATTCAAAAAAGGAAATATATCTAGCGATGAACATATAAATAGAACCATGGAGTATTTTGCATGATGTGTTTGCTGAAATTCCACTAATGTTTCATGTATGCAATGTTGCAATAGGTACTTATATGCTGTTTTAATCAGTTATGATATATAGTGATGTCGTGGAGTCACAGTATTTGGAAATATGAATCAGTTTCTTTTGTTCGATGAATGTCAAGATTCATAGCTAGCACTCATCTTTCTTATTATGGTTCGTGGATGTAGGTATATGATGATACAAGTGAGGGAAGGAAAGTTTGTACATATTACAAATTGGATTCTATACCAGTAGTCCTAGTAATCGACCCAATCACAGGTCAAAAAATGCACTCATGGGTTGGAATGGTACAGCCTGAGAGTTTGCTGGAGGTGCGCTCTTTGTGTGTATTTTAATACTTTCTCTGATAAATCATGTTGAAAAATTGTTGACAGAAGAGGGGAACTTCCCATGTTAAAATTTAATCCAACTTTCAATTTGTTGTTCCACTGATATGAGGAAACACATGCTCAACCTTGTAGGATCTGGTACCATTCATGGATGGTGGCCCAAGGGATCATCACAAAACCCTGTCTCATAAACGTCTAAGGGGCAGTTCTCTGACTCCGCAAAAAAGCAAAGGTCAGTTATGCATGCTAATGTTGTTGAATTTGTGATGATGGATTATTTAATTGGAGAATTGTAGACGAGTTATCTTATACATGAAAACTAATTCTTGTACCTTCCATAGCGTTCCATTTCTAGATGTTTATAAATTTCAATATTTAACCACGATGTCCTGGGTGCTGTTATCTATTGTGATACTTGTTGAATGACCAATGGTGGTATTATTAAGTGATAATGACTATGGTGGAGGTGATAGGATGTGAGTTATAATCTAATTTCATGGCATCTGATATGACAAAGTTCAATGCTTTTGTTAAAAGTAATTTTCTCCCATAAATTGGTATATTGGGCTCTTAAATTTTGTATTTGAGAATTCAGTTGCATGGGCGCTTCTTGATCTCATTTCATTCTTCACATTTTGATTTTCATTGCCAATCACCAAATGCAGTGGATAAATTTTTATTCTCTTACATTCTGTTAAGAATTATATATACATATTTATGTAGTGTTCCACTGGATTTTTCTCAAGTTGGTGCATTTTATGCGGTTCAATCTTGATGGTCCAATTTTTCTTGAGGCTCAAGCTGCCTCATTGAATGTTTGTACTGTCATTTCTTGAATGTAAATGTCCTTCATGTAAGCTGTCAGGGTGGAAGTTATCAAACATATTTTGTCAAACAAAATGGACTTAATGGATGCAACAGTATTTATTTGTGGAAATTTATGGTACCCTAACATTTAGTGTAAATTTATTCTGAAGCTCAACATGTCTCTGCAATTTACCAAGCTCTCATCAAATAATTTGCTTGTACCAGGGCAGTTAAGTTCTTTTTTACCAAAACACATAGATTCTAGTAATTTTAAGCATGAGGAGAAAAGTGTTTTTGTCTTTTATTTCTTTTATTTATTATAAGATTCCAATTTTTCCTTGTATCTACAAATGTTATGAGGTGTGTGCATGCGTTCATGTGCATGTATTGTGTGCTTGTTTCTCAATGTGTGCATGTGCAGTAGGTGTGGTGTGATCCTCTGTCCTCTTTATGAAGGTTGATTCATTGTGTCTGCCTCTGCATATAACTATACATAATTTTCAGCTCCGGTGCCTGCTTATGAAACTAATGAAGAAGACAAGGAAGTGCAAAAGGCATTAGCTGCTTCAATGGAGAGCATGAAAGAGTCCAGTGCAGTTGCTTCCAATGATAAAGATGAAGCCAGTACCACTCAGGAGGAAGAAAAATGTTCAAGTAGGATGCCAATGTATCCACCTCTACCTGAAGAACCCAGCGGTGATAAGAGTCTCCTGTGTAGGGTTGGAATTCGTCTTCCTGATGGACGTAGAGTCCAGAGAAATTTCTTGAAAACTGATCCAATACAGGTGAGAACCTTGTTTTATTTGTACTTAGGCTATCCATGCTCATTTAATGCATAGTTGTAAAACCTGACCTAAGGGGTGACCCCTAATTTTTTTTTTAAATGGATCATATATTTATATTTTAAATAGACAATAGGTTGAGGGCCAGGTTTTGACCAGGTGAGCAAATCACCCTAGGTTTTTGACTAGGTGGGATGGGGTTTTTTCTTTCTATTTTTTCTTCAACCCGTACGGGTCCAGGCATTGGGTCTCGAGTTGACATGCCAAGTTGGTCTGAGTTTTACAACTATGGGTTAATGTTGTGGCCTTTTCTCTGTGTACATTTTACCCATTCTTATTTGCGTGCTTAGTTACTCAATCTCAGGCACATAACCTAGGTGAATAGGTACTAAAACTAGCAGTTGGTGTTCTCACCAAAAGCTATGGCATGGTGCAAAATTTTTGCAATTGACACATTCTTGGTTAGACTTGTAGAATACTTTCTATATGCCTTAGTTGTTTTGAATCACAAGTACATGGATGAACAATTTTGGTATATCTGGCCAGCTTATCTCAGCTAGGTAGACCAGTGTACTGCATTGAACTGGCCAGGTCTTCCATTAGACTGTTTAAGAAATCCAGATAAAATGGTTGCTTCAAATGGATTTATTTGACATATTCTTGATTAAAATGGTTGTTTTTTTTTTCTTTTTTGCTGCTCATTTTTTTCTAGGTGATTGACACTTGAAATAATTGCATCTTGTTCTTTATTTCTTTTATTTTTTTGGGTGTGAGATGGTTTTTGTTCAGTGGCGTCCATTGCACAAGGAAACCCTGTACTAATTGGCTGTGCTCGCTTTATCCATGCCAATACGATTGAAGTGCCTTTTGTCAAAACATTGATGCTTTCTCTTGGGTTTTGTTTATCAATCTAATGCTTTATTTGTGGTACCTTAACTTTCAGCAACTATGTATGCTATTTTAGTACGCGCTTTCTCTTGAGTTATAGATCCTATTCTATGCAAACTGTGACTCTTTGTTTGTATCATGTCATCTGGCTGCTCTCCTTTCTCTACTGCTTGTTTATTTTGTTTTCCCTCTTTTTAGTTATAATCGATCTGCTAGTTGAATCACCAGCCTGTTGATCCAGTTTCTTGACTGTTTCGGTTTCAAGTGTCTAATAACCATGACCCTTTGTAATTGAGTTCAGCTTATATTGGAGTGCTTCAGGATATGTTCACTTTTTCCCTTGCATTAGGTTTCACTCTTCTGTAATTACAATAAACAATGGAACCATGCTATCTGATTTTTGTCAAAGTGTAGTTTGTAACTGGAGAATGATAAAGTGGCCACACCACTTTATCATTAAACTTTATCTGCGTGGGAGGGTGGGGAGATGGGTTGCATGATTTATTTCGTGTTTTTTTATTGTCATGGTGAGTAACGTGCTTGAATAGAGATATTCTATCTGTGCCATGCTTGAGATGGGCGCTCCTTGTGCAACTGCACTGTAAGAAATTTGCTCTGCAGATTAATATAGTAGGGATCTACTAATGTTTTATTCCAGATGAAATGCATTAGTTTCTGAGTTGGGATTTACTCTTTCTTCAGCTGCTATGGTCATTTTGCTATTCTCAACTAGAAGAAGCTGGGACAAAGCTGTTTCGTTTGACGGAGGCAATTCCAGGAGCAAAGAGGCTGGATTACGATAGTAAAATGACCTTTGGGGAGTCGGGCTTGGCCAACTCTATGATCTCGGTTGCTTGGGATTGAAATCAAACTTCAAGACCTTACTCTTGTTTTCAAGACTTTTGGTTGAAGTTTCGTACATGTCTGGTCCTTTTTTGCTCTGTTTGGAAAGTTGACCTATGGAGCCATCGAGTCCTATTTAAAATTATTTACTGTGTACATACTGTTATGTATTGGACAAGAATTTACAATCGATGTAATGCACTACTGCTGCTCTTGTGGCTTTCGCAGATGGATATTTAATAGTTGATGGGAAGGATGCAATTTAATGCACGATCAGTAAAGTTGAGGCAGAGGAAAAAGAAGAAAAAAAAGAAAAGAATTAGAAACATAAACCAAGCAGCAAAGGACAAACTTCTGAATCTTATTTTTATCGTGTGGAGATAGATCTACGAAACATTAACTGATTGAGAGAAACCGAATCACTATTTTCTTGTTGATTTACAATAAATCAAACCAGTACATGTAGAGTGTTGTAACTAATTTCTACACAGATAGCTTCAATGAACAATAACTGATATATATTTTCTAGTTTCCCATATTATCATAAGCACTAGATGTTGTGTCAATAAACATCCACGTACTGATGTTCTCAAGCAACTTCTAAAATCGTATATTGTAATTTTCACATATTTATTTGATCTGGATACAAGAATATCAATTTGTTTGTAATTTATTCACATGATGAAATTACTATTTTTTCATGTAAAAAAACAAAAACGCTTGCTTCATTGTACTTGTTCACTAGAACAAAATGCTAGTGTAATCAATCTATGTTACTTTGCCTCTAAGCTCTTTCGCAACCATTGCATTCGTAGCAGATATATAAAGCCTCTCGTCGATCGGTGCTCCTTCAGATTTCATGTCCCTCAAAAGCTTCAGCAACTCATCAATCCGACTAATTTTAGAGAAAACTCCAACCATAATTCCTGCAATAGCCCCATCAATCACACCCCCATTAATTCTATACTCGTGGAAAAACCTCACACACATCTCATACTCTTTGGACTTGCTATAAGCACTTATAATACTAGTGTAAGTCACTTTATCTGGAGCCACTTTTCTTCTCTTCATCTCCTTCCAGAGCTTCTCCACCCGCCTTAAATCCTTGGCTCTTCCATGCATGTCCACCAAAGAATTGTATATCCATGTATTAGGCTGACAACCTTTTAGTTTCATCTTTGCTACAAGCCTCATAGCATCTCTTGGCCTACCTGTTTTCCCATACATCGAGATTATGCTGGAGTATGCCACGACACATTTGTCGAACCCCTTTGCCTCCATCTCAAAAAACACAATTTCAGCTTTAGAATAAAGCCCAACTCGGCAATAGGCATTTATCACAGACGCATATGTCACCTGTCCTGGTTCACAGCCATCATATTTCAACTCCTCATAAACTTTAACAGCTGCATCGAACCCTCTTCTTTTAGAAAAGCCATTGACAATTGCACAGAAAATGCAATCAGACACCTTCAGTTTAGCAGTACCCTTCATTTCCTTGACAATTTGAACTGTCTTCTCCATCTGTCCTTCTTCCATATAAATCAACACAAGCTTTAAAAAAGTTTCTGGATCCTTTAACATTCTCTTCTCTTGAGCTTCTTTATAGAGCTCCTCAGCTAACTTTACTTCTCGAATATTTACCAATGAACAGATCAAGGAAGAGTAAATTGAAGAGTCCTCCAGAATCCCTTTCTTTTTCATGTCTCTGAAGTATTCAAGAGCTTCAAAAACTTGGCCTGATCTCCCCAATGACTCGCATAATATCTTGTACATTTGACTTAAGATCATTGGTTTTGAATCTATTTTTCTACTTTCAAACTCATTAAACATTTCGACAACTCTCCCCGCATCTCCTAATTTATGGTGTGCCTTCATTGTCTGGAAGTAACACCCAGAATCCAAAGGAATGCCTGCTAATTTCATCTTTTCCTGTACAGAAAGTGTGCTCCCATACATATGTAGTTTGTTATACCCTTTCATTGCTGAATCAAAAGCCAAAACAGCAATTTTACTATCAGATATAGAAATTTCAAGCAATCCCTCTACAACTTTGAATTTTCTAGCTCTAATGCAACTACTAACTAGTGTTGAAAAAGTATAGCTATCTGGCAAAACACTGTACTTTTTAAAATCATCAGCCACTGACAAAATCAAACCCCACTTCTCTGATTGTATCAAGTACCTTATTAGAAGCTTTAGCATTGGTCTTTCAGGCCTAAATTCTTGCTTTTCTTTTGCTTTCTTGTAGTACTCGTATGCTAGTTCTTCAGACTTGGGATCTCGCAGTACCCCACATAAAAAATCATTTAACTTGTCTGAATGGTCTGGAATTGGATAGTGTTGAGTATCTTCAAGTCTCAAGTCTAATGGGATGACAGGAGAATTCGTGGATGACTCTTCTTCTATGATAGGGGATGGAAAACTAGAAGAATTCACGTGAAAAACAGGAATATTGAAGCATGGAAGAGGGAGAAAGTGAAGATTTTTGCATGTTTGAGTGAAGATAACCTTGTGAGGCTTTCTGCAAGAGTTAATGGAAGGTACTGACCAATCTGGAGAACTACTAGGAATGGCCATTGGAAATGAGGTTTCAGAGTTTTTGGACTGTTGAGACCATATGAAATGAAATTATAATTAATCCGTTAAATAGTGATGCGCACTTTCCCTTCCTCTGGATTTTTTTTCGTCTACGTTCGGATCCTATGAGCCACTGAGAGACATGGCACGTGGAAGATTTCCGTACATAAAGATAACCTGCTCTAAAAGTAGCCACGTCGCGACTCGCTTAAGTCCAAAGTTGAAGTTTTATCTCTTTTTGTAAATAAATAAATAAATTTTAAACAGTAAAAAAAAATGAAAACACGTGGTTTATTTTTTATTTTTAAAATCAAATCGGGTCTATTTTAATGGGGTCGATCAAATTATAAGTATGATATTAATTGGATTTAATTAAGTCAGTTCTTAACTAAATTTGATATTAAATTTAACTTAATCAAACTCTAATCTAGATTAATAAATAAATGAATTAAACCATAAAATCAAATCAAGTTTTATACTATATCAATTTCAAATAATTTATTTAACTTATTGTATTTAAATTAAATACTTTATTGAAATCTCAAGAGACTTTCATTTCAACATATCAACAATTTGAATTATCCTTTCACTATCTCAAATTTATTTTGTAAATATATCTATTTAGTTGATACTTATCCATGTGTTTATTCATTAATTGAAATGAATTTCTCCCATATAAAAAAGTAAGAATATTAAAAATAGTAAGCTAGTGAGTGTTGTTTTTGTATTATAATATGTTTTTTAAAGTTTTTTAAATTATTTTTTGTTTAAAAAACATTAAATTAATACTTTTTATGTATTTTTAGATTTTGTTGACATGTTTATATCTAATAAATCATTTTTTAATATATTTTAATTAAAAATAATTAAAAAAAACACACGCCATAATAACAAGTACACAGCAAAGTCTAAACTGTTAACTTCATCAAAATCAACTCCTTTCAAACAGAATATTTAGTAAAGTATCATTATTTATTCAAAAGGCAGAGGAGGCCACTAATTATGATCGTCAACCTTAAATTAATTTGAGATGGAAGCGCCAACCCAATTAATTTGATTTGCAAATTCTATCTCCCAGCACAGGCCCGCCCACCTACGGATGCTAATATATAGCTATGAACTCTCTCTGTGTTGTGTTGAGTCTCCCTGGCACAGACATGTTTGGGGGTTAACCCAACCAATAAACTGGATCTCAAGTTATACGTTAATTCAAATCAACTAAAAAAATACTTAAGATTTTAATATTTCATTTAAAAAGTTAAGAAAAATATATATTGTAAATAATAAAATTTAAAATATTATTTCAAAATATTTTTATTTAACATTGAAAAGATATTATCCTTTTATTTTAAATTAAATTATTTAAATAAAAATTATTTCTCATTTTTAATTAAAAACTATATATATATATATAGTCGTTTAAATAAAATATTATTTAAGTGTTTACCTTAATATAAACTAATAACCACCACCACCACCAAAAAAAAAAGGAAGAAAGAATAGAATCACGCGTATAAGATGCCAAAATAAAAGGAATATAAACTAATAACCACCACCACCAAAAAAAGAGAATAGAATCACGTGTATAAATAATAAATAAGATGCCAAAACAAAAGGAATATAAACTAATAACCACCACCACCAAAAAAAGAGAATAGAATCACGTGTATAAATAATAAATAAGATGCCAAAACAAAAGGAATATAAACTAATAACCACCACCACCAAAAAAAGAGAATAGAATCACGTGTATAAATAATAAATAAGATGCCAAAACAAAAGGTATACCTTTGATTCCTCTGCACGAGACATCTCCTATGTTTTCTATCCTTAAACTGAAACACCATTTTGAACTCAGATCAAGCAATTATTTTGTTAACCATTGTAGCCGCTACCTTCTATCTTCGGTGATAAATGTTTTTTTGTTACCCTCGAACTTGAACCGCTATTTTAACTCACTGGATAAATTTTCTAGCAGTCCCAGCAATTTTTCTATTAATTATTGAAACCGCTGCGTGCTGTGAAAATTCTATCCCTTAGCCCATCAAAATTTCACACGCGGTTCGCATGTATTCATAAATTCAATTTTAGTTTGTTAAAAAATAAAATGTAAATTAAAAAAAACAAATTCGTACGGGATCGCCCGAGTTTCTACTTTCTCGAGGCAAATTACAAACCTAGATTTTTACCTCTCGAGACCCGGCTCGTATCCCGGGTCAACCAGCCTGATAGACATGTGTATCGCCCGTGTCATTCGCATATTTGTTCTTTTACTGGCCTTGCCATTTTCCCTTTTGTCAACGTTGAGCTCGTCGTAGCCATGATGGACAATGTTCGATTCATTCGTCCATTACACCTTACTTCAAAGGAGTCATATTATTAATTAAAGAAAACAAATTCTCATAAACTACCCATGACATTTCCATGTGGAGAAGGAGCGCAAGAAAAAAAGAAAAGAAAAGAAGAGAAAAGGAGCTTTTTGAAGCCAAGAAAGGAACCAGAATACGAGAAGACTCGAGGGAAGACCGACCTTTTATGTTCTTTCCCCAGCGATACAGTAGCACGGAAGAAGGGAAGACCTGTTACCTGGGACTGCCTTTTTCTTTCTCAATAATAAAGAAGCAACACTCCCTCTTACCTATAATAAAGGCAACACAGAGATGGGATAATGCTTGTCTCTTTCTTTCCGCCTCCGTACTGCATTGTATAGTTAAAGTTATTCTTTTCTTTCCTTCGGTGTTTATACCTGTTTCTTTGTGGCGAAGGAACCACCTTTTTCCCTTCCTTTATAAGTTTGAAAGTAGGAAGCTCTTTTCATCATCGCAGATAAACGAGAAATTGATGATGAAAAGATCAGAGAGTTCAAGCAAGATGATGAAGAAGAAAGAAATTACTAATGATCATGGCTTCGTTGACACCGTTTTTTCATGGTCTCTTGAGGATATATTCAATGAAAATCTTTTCAAGGTTTTTACCTTCTCTACCTTCCATTCTCTCTTTAGTTATTTATTTTGTAAAATTAGATTGTTGGCATGCGATTATTATTTGCAGCTTTTGGATTATTTTACTGAGCTGTGAATTGACGTTTCCTTTATTTAACAACTTCTTGATTTAAGAAAATTATTTGGTTGTTACATCGATTGTGGGCTAGACCCTTACAAGTCCATTCCTTTTTGAATTGCACATTGCTTGCCCTGAACGTAAGCTGAGGCAGAGCAGCTCCAACTCACCATAAAAATGGAGAGTTTTGGAAATTCTTTTAATAATGGAGTTTGTTCTTGCGTGCACGCTTGGTGTCATAATATTTTTTCGGAGTTCACAATTCGTAGCTGTTTAGATAAATGTCTTAGTCTTAATGCTACTACATGATTGATTAATTGTGCCAAAGGTCTTGGCATTGATACCCGCTAGGCCTGTTCATAGTTTGATTCAAATAACAAAAAAACAAACCGAATTAAATAACTTAAATTTTTAAAAATTCAAACAAACCTGAATTAAATTCTAGTTTAAATTAAATCTGTTTGGTGTGGTTAAATTCAATTTTTTAGTTTTAAAACTAAATAAACTAATCATCAAATTAATGAGTTTTTTTGAATTTTTCTAGATAGACTTGTTTTAAATTGAGCTTTTAAATTTTTTTATTGGGCTAAGTTTATATACTTTTTAATTAAAACTCTCTAAAGTTTTTTAATTTAATTTAGTTTCTTATAAGCTTTTTAATTTAATTAAAAGATTAATATTTTTTTGAAATGCTTCACTTCTTGCTATCTTTAATATACAAAGAAATAGATTATAACAATTTAAATCAATACAATATATAAGATGCATAATTAAATTTTGATACCTCAAATTAAAAAAAATATTCACACTAAAAAGTTTACATTAGCAAGCAGATACATAAGCAACCAATAATAAATTATCATAAACATCCGGTATAATTTGAAGAAAAAAATCTAGCACTAGCACTACAGCTACATCCAAAACTTTCAGCAACAAAAAAAGTTAAAAGATCCAGCAAGGATAATTCTACAAAGAAACATTAATAAATTAGCAACATATTAAAATTCAATTATTAAAAAAATTAATAATACAAAATTTTAAAAAGAATTAACAAGGTAAAGTAAATTACCAAAACAATTATATTCCAAGATTGCACCAATATCATTAATATAACTTTACAAACAACCAATTGAGATTTTCAAACTTTCATCAAATTTTACAAAAATATAATTTAAAATGTTAAATTAAACATATGCAAATAAATAATATTATAATATAACTACATTTAAATTTGTAAAAGAAATTACTGACTCAATCATCTTAGAATTTTCAATATAATTCATGAAGATTTTGATGTTGATTGAAATTGGTGCTAAATTCAGTCAATTTTAACAATAAACAAGTACTTGCACTGTTGATAGAGATAAAGAGTTTTGAAATGGATATAATATATTATTGTCAGTATTGAAAGCTGCTTCAAAAACAACTGTAGATACCAAGATAGCTAATACGTGTTGTACCATCTTAATTTTTTTTTATATTTTGTAGCATTATACCTCCATTAACTCCAAATATCTAATTTAAAATTATTAAAATCTTCATAATCATCACCTAAATACCGCTCAACCTTATTTTTTGAGACATAACCTTTTTTCTCTAAATATTTTTTGAATTTAAAAGCTAAATTATCTAACATATTATCATTTATCACAATTAAATCAGCATTAACATCTTCATTTATATTGATTTCAATATGATAAATAACCTCAATATTCTTATCAATATTTATATAATGCTAAAACAACCTTAGCAATATTCTTATTAATATTTATATAATGCACAAACAACCTTAACCTTAACAAAGTATCTTGTTGCGATTTTAAGCGATGCAATGGCGCAACCTGTTAAATAAATGTGTAATTTGATTATACAATTAAATATTGTTCAGTGTTGTTCATATTTTTGTGAAAGCTCCTCAACTTTGAAACTAGTCGCTGTGTTCCCTGGAAATAATTTTGTTGCAGTTGAGCTGTCCTCGCATCGTGTAAAGAGATTGGATTATTGTAGCAGCCGAATATTTGGAGATAGCAAGTTTTGGGGTGCCTTCATGTCCTTTGAATGACCTCGTGTTTTCCTTTCCTTTGTAGGTGGAAAATATTCCAGAGTCATTTTACTCGGTTCGGCATTATCTTGGATCATATGTAATTCCTTTATTGGAAGAAACCCGTGCACAATTGAGCTCAAGCATGGAAATTATTTCCAGAGCACCGTTTGCTGAAATGGTTTCCTTCTTTGAGGCCAAGCCCCACGACACATTATTGTATGATGTTAATATTGATTATTGGAGAAACAGATCCCGTGGCAGCGGCAACGAGCATTCCAAAACATTGCCCGGCGACATCGTTATTTTAACAGGTGCTAAACCTGAAAATGTCTCTGATTTGCAAAGGGTTGGATGGACATGGACATTTGCTGTGGTCACCACTATAAGAGGAGACGAGACCGAGGATGCTGCTACATATACTTCTTTCACAGTCAAGGCGCAAAAAGACATTGAAATTAGTGATGGACTGCAGAAATCACTTACTGTGATTTCATTGACTAATATAACAACTAGCAAAAGAATATGGAATGCACTCCACATGTTCGGAAACTTGAATATCATCAAAGAGATTCTGTGCACTGATTCTGTGGTAAGATATATATATACACACGAATGTGATTACTGTCTCTAGTATCATGTAGATTTTGCATTACCGTAGTCCATCATGTAGATTTTGCATGTAATAAATTGTTTTGAACTTGATTGAGTTTCCATGTTGGATAACAGGTTGAGGAAAATTGCAACCAATATTCTATGCGGGAACGTGCAATCTATGATGAGAGTGTTGTGAATTTGTCATCTAAACTGAATGAATCCCAAAGCAAGGCGGTTTTGGCATGTCTGCTTAAAAAGCAAGGCAACAATAAGTCGGCAGTTGAACTTATTTGGGGCCCACCAGGGACTGGGAAAACCAAAACAGTCAGTATGTTGCTCTTTAGCCTCCTAAAAATGAAATGCAGAACTCTAACATGTGGCCCAACCAATGTTTCAATTACAGAAGTGGCCTCTAGGGTGCTCAAGCTGGTCACAGAATCTCATGAAGCAGATTTAGGAACCGATTCTTTGTTTCATTCTGTGGGAGATATTCTTTTGTTTGGGAATAAGGACAGACTCCAAGTTGATTCTGAAACTCAGGAAGTCTATTTGGATTATCGTGTCAAAAGGCTTATAGAGTGCTTTGCACCTCTGACTGGTTGGTGGAATTGTTTCAATTCGACAATTGATTTTTTCGAAGATTGTGTTTCTCAGTATGCCATTTTCGAGAAGAATGAATTAATCAAAATGCAGGAGCATGATGGTGAAAATGAAGGGAAAAGGGAACCCTGGAGCTATCAAGCTGTTGCACTCAAAGGAGAGCTCAAAACGTTTCTCGAATTTATGAGAGATAGATTCCGCTCTACTGCGTTGCCTCTAAAAAGATGCCTCACTTTATTATGCACTCACATACCAGAAACTTGCATTCTCAAACATAACATTCAGAACATCGTATTCTTGTTGGGGTTACTTAACTCTTTTGAATCTTGGCTATTCCATGAGGATGTGATTTCTGATGAATTGCTTGAAGTTTTTTCACACCCAGGGCTAGATAAGTATTCTTTCCGAGGTTTTAACGATATATTGTTGCGGTTGAGACTAAAGAGAAGGGAATGCCTTACTATGTTGAAAAGAGTATGGAATTCTCTCCGCCATCTGGATCTTCCAAGTACTATGAACAAACGGTCAATAGAGGAATTCTGTTTCCAGAAAGCAACCTTATTTTTGTGCACAGCTTCTAGTTCGTATAAGTTACATTTCTTGCCTATTGAACCACTGGACTTTTTGGTAGTTGACGAAGCAGCTCAGCTAAAAGAATGTGAATCAACAATACCCCTACAACTTCCTGGTATTAGGCATGCTATTCTAATCGGTGATGAGTGTCAATTACCAGCTATGGTCGTAAGAAATGTATGAAAATGCTACCTCGTTGTTTTATTATCGTCTTTTTTGTTGAACTGAATTTTAGATTTGTTACTTTCTACACTATTGGCTCCTTATAGCTTATGGTTCTTAGGTTTGTGATAAGGCTGGCTTTGGAAGGAGTTTATTTGAAAGGCTCAGCTCATTGGGTCATTCAAAACATCTTTTAGATATGCAGTACAGAATGCATCCATCCATCAGTTGCTTCCCTAATTCAAAATTCTACTTCAATCAGATCTTAGATGCACCAAATGTCAAGGCTAGAAGTTATGTAAAGCATTATCTTCCAGGGCCAATGTTTGGTCCCTATGCATTCATAAATGTATTGGGTGGAAGAGAAGAGCTAGATGATGTTGGGCATAGCAGGAAAAATATGGTTGAGGTAGCCATTGTGCTGAAATTACTGCGAAGGCTGTACGAAGGTATATTATGCAAGAACTTGAAGTTTCTGTTACCATCGTGTTTAGGACTTTTTATATATGATTACAGCCGAAGGCTTGGAATTTTTCTGTGCAAACTGATGCTTACAATTGTTTTGCTTTGGCATATGAGGAAATTAAATGATCTTCAACTACCAAACTTTCTCTGACGGTGTTTTCATCTTGCATTAAAAACACTTGTATGACTGTTTAGCTCCTTTAAAGTCAATGCTTATTGACATCTTGTTTTCAGAGAGACTAATAATAGAGAAGTGAAACAATGCAAATGACCTTTCACTTTTGAAGAAAGCATAGACAGTACGAATTTGATGCTTTTCTGTGACAAACTTCTGGCTTAACATCATTTCATCGAAACAATTTCTGCCACAAGATTTTGCTATCATTTATTATTATTATTATTATTATTATTATTTGACATCCTTTGATGTTTCTGCATGCAGCATGGAGTGGAAAAACGGTTAGAGTTGGTGTAATATCTCCATACACTGCTCAAGTTGGTGTGATTCAAGAGAAGCTTGGCAAGAAATATGAAAACATTGATGGTTTTTCCGTAAAGGTGAGTTCAATCGATGGATTTCAAGGTGGCGAAGAGGACATCGTAATAATATCAACCGTGAGATCCAATACAGGTGGAGCAATTGGGTTCATCTCTGATCCTCGGAGAATTAATGTTGCTCTTACACGGGCTAGGTAGTGCTTCCAACTAGCTCTTTCCTGGTGTCTTTTAATTGTTCTAACGACAGTTCTTACCTTTTTTTAATGCCATTTCAGGCACTGTCTTTGGATTTTGGGGAATGAAAGAACCCTATCAAATAGTGAATCTATTTGGGAAAAGTTAGTCCATGATGCTAAGGAACGCAATTGTTTCTTTAATGCTGATGAAGACAAGGATTTGGCCAAAGCCATTTTAGAAGTCAAGAAAGAGTTTGATCAGCTGGATGATTTGATTAAGGGTGACAGTGCACTATTCAGAAGTGCTAGATGGAAGGTATTTATCTCATAGTTACGTTTCTGTCATCCATCATATTTGTATTATGGCATTCCTTATGGCAGATGTAAGCATCACAGTTATTTTCTTTTGATATTTGTGCGGTCCAGGTTCTTTTCAGTGAATACTTCAAAAAATCATTTGGCAACCTAGCATCAGTAAGAATGAAGACACTTGTTCTGTACCTTCTACTGAAACTTTCCAGTGGCTGGCGTCCTAAGAGAAGGAGTGTGGACTTCATTTGCGGAAGCTCTTCTCAAATCTTGAAACGGTTCAAGGTTGAAGGACTTTATGTAATCTGTTCAATTGACCTAGCGAAGGAAAGATGCTACAAACAAGTTTTGAAGGTTTGGGATTTATTACCATTAGAAAATATTCCTATATTGGCTAAACGTCTAGAGGGCATCTTTGAGACGTACACTGACGATTTTATCAGTCATTGCAATGAGAAATGTCTAGAGGGGTATGTCTTTGCTATATTTATTCCATCTCTAGTTGTGCACTTGTGTTCCTCAATAATTACATAGAAATTTGCTTTAATTTGGCTGAAACGGTTAGATTTCCTTTTCTTTTGTTGAGTTTTTCTTATTGTTTGTTTTTGTTCAGAGATCTGGAAGTTCCAAAAACTTGGAGAACCTCCTTTGATATTCCCAGATATAAGAGTTGCAGCAACAATGAAATAAGAAGCAATTCAAATGCTGGTGGTCCTCGTCCCTATTATGTAGAGAACTCAAAAGTGAGTGATAGTTTGCTGCTGATGAAGTTCTACTCGTTATCTTCTGGGGTTGTGAGCCACTTGCTTTCTGACCGTGATGGAAGAGAATTGGAGCTCCCATTTGAAGTGACTGATGAAGAACTCGAGATCATCATATTCCAAAGAAGTACATTTATACTAGGACGATCAGGGACTGGTAAAACAACTGTTTTGACAATGAAGCTGTTTAAGAAAGAGCAACTATTTCATACGGCAACAGAGGGATACTTCGATACTTCAGAGGACAGCAGCAGGAGAAACAATGTTGCTGATGACATTAAATCTGATGGGGATGGTGTTGGAGATGCCAAAGAAACTGTCTTGCGTCAACTTTTTGTGACAGTCAGTCCAAAACTCTGTTATGCCATCAAGCATCATGTGATACAATTGAAAAGGTTTGTATTGTTTTAGAAAATACACTACGCTGGAGCTGATACCTCCAGGTTAAATTTTTTTTCTTGCAAAGCGTGCTTTTCATGATGTAACTTGTTATTAAGGAAATTTCATTGTAAGCATTTGTTCATATGCATTGCTGGATTGAACTTTTAGAAATTTATAGCAGGCCCTTAAAATTAGCTTAGCTTACTTCTGTACTTCATAAGCATTTCTTATTAATCAGATCACCCCATTCCATTATTGTTAAACTTCGGAAAATTCTTCCTAAAATTACCGTGCTTTCTGTATTTGTTTTCTTATATTAGCCTTGTTGTGTGTGTACAGCTTTGCCTCTGGTGGAAAGTACTCAGCAGAAGGGAGTTCAGTTGATATGGAAGATATTGATGGTGCAGCACAATTCAAAGATATTCCAAACTCTTTCTTAGATATTCCTCCAAAGTCATACCCACTTGTTATCACTTTCTTTAAATTTTTAATGATGCTCGATGGAACAGTGGGTAATTCGTACTTTGAAAGATTTTCTGACACGAGGCAGCTTTTGCATGAAAAAGTAGGGAATTCAGGATCAATCTCAGCACAAACTCTTATAAGAACAAAGGAGGTTAACTTCGAGAAGTTTTGTGCAGTTTATTGGCCACGTTTCAATGAAAAATTCAAAAAAAAGCTTGATTCATCCAGAGTATTTACTGAGATAATTTCCCATATAAAAGGTGGCCTGCGAACTGGAGAGTCTTGTGATGGCAGACTGAGCCGACAGGATTATATTTTTCTGTCAGAAGGTCGTATATCCACTTTAAATAGGCAGAAGAGAGATTTAATATATGATATTTTTGAAGACTATGAAAAGATGAAAGCAGAAAATGGTGACTTTGACATGGCTGATTTTGTAAATGATCTTCATCTTCGTCTTAAAACTTACAAGTATGAGGGTGATGCGATGGATTTTGTCTATATTGATGAAGTACAAGATCTTACAATGAGGCAGATTGCTCTCTTCAAACATATCTGTAGGAATGTAGATGAGGGTTTTGTTTTTTGTGGTGATACAGCGCAAACAATTGCTAGGGGGATTGACTTTAGGTTTGAAGATATAAAATCTTTGTTCTATAACGAGTTTGTTTTAGCATCAAGGCGTGTGGGAAATGTCAGAAGGGAGAAAGGTCAAATATCTAAAATATTTCATTTGAAACAGAACTTTCGTACCCATGCTGGTGTGCTCAAGTTAGCTCAGAGTGTTATTGATCTTCTTTATCGTTTTTTCCCTTCATTTATTGATGCTTTGAGCCCTGAAACAAGTCTTATTTACGGGGAAGCTCCTATTTTACTTGAATCTGGAAATGATGAAAACGCAATTGTAACTATTTTCGGGAATAGTGGGAATGTGAGAAGCAATTTTGTTGGGTTTGGAGCAGAGCAGGTGATATTGGTGCGGGATGATGCTGCTAGGAAAGAGATTGATAACTATGTTGGGAAGCATGCTCTTGTTTTGACTGTTGTAGAGTGCAAGGGCCTAGAATTTCAGGTCAGTGGTTTACTGTCCATCTTGTTTTTCCTATTCAGAACATTATCTTTATCATTTGCAATTTTTTCCAGGCGTGTCAACACATTTGATCACCACATCGATAATTTTTACCATGCTCGTAATTTCAACCTTTCGATAATTTGTACCTCTTTAGCTCTAAATTGCTGTTTGAGTTTATAGATGCGGTGCCAGAGCGGATACTGTTTTAAAATCTGATGGATGCTCACAATCTTGAAAAACATTCACATTTCTTTTAGCCACTGATATCTTTACCCTTTTAACTCTTTGCCTCATCTTTTTTTTAGGATGTCCTCTTGTACAACTTTTTTGGATCGTCACGTTTGAAAAATAAATGGAGAGTTATCTATGAGTTTATGAAGGAACAAGATTTACTTGATGCCAATTCCCCATCCTTTCCAAGTTTCGAACCGGCAAAACATAATGTCTTGTGCTCTGAGTTGAAGCAATTATACGTTGCTATCACTCGTACACGGCAAAGGCTGTGGATTTGTGAGAACGTGGAGGAGTTCTCCAGACCAATGTTTGACTACTGGACGAAGAAGGGCCTTGTCCAAGTGAGTAAACTGGATGATTCGCTTGCCCAGGCAATGCAAATTTCTAGCAGTCCTGAAGAGTGGAAGTCTCAGGGTAACAAGGTTTGCTTCTTGTTATACTAATGTAGCATTTAACTTATAATTTCTTGATTTTGACGTTCTTAAAAAAAAATTATATGCATTCTCTATTTAATTATTTTTTGTGATTGATCGAAAGTTGATGCATTCACTTGGTTATCCATATTCCATATTGTTCACAACAATTTTGCGAGTTTGGATATCTTGGTTTATTGCTTTCAGTGATATTATATGTTTTCAACATCCCATTCCTACTTGTTTGAAAGGACATAAAGTGTCTTTAACATTGCATTCTCGTCGTCTCGCCTTGCTCATACAAGTGTAACTTGCCTTTTCTTACCTTTTGTTGGTGTCACACAGCTTTTACATGAGGGTAAATATGAGATGGCAGCTATGTGCTTTGAAAGAGCAGGGGATGAATATGGGGAGAAATTGTCCAAGGCTGCTGGGCTTAAAGCAGCTGCTGACATGATGCATAGTTCAAATACTAAAATGGCTTCTGTTGCACGTAGACAGGCTGCAGAAATTTTTGAATCAATAGGCAAGGCTGAGTATGCTGCCGAATGCTTTTACATGTTGAAGGAGTATGATAGGGCAGGTATGCTTTAGTGCTATCTTCACTTCTTTTTCAGCGTTTTTACAGAAACATGAGCTGATCGATGGAAAATATATTCGGCAGAAAAGTCTTGCCACCACTGTTACTCTACACTTTTGGTTTTCTAATGTTTCTGCTAGTTATGACCATTGCCTGTGTCCCTTGTATACTGAATTAATATTCTTCATTGCAAATTGCACCATCTTTTCTGTGAGAAAATTATTTATGAAATTCACAGATTTGCAGTTGACTGGATGATCTTAACCTTAAGTTGCAGTTATTACCGAGTAGGATTTACTGTCCTCTGCAGGTAGGATTTACTTGCAATGTGGGGAATCTGCAATGGAAAGAGCTGGAGAATGTTTTTTTCTTGCTAAAAATTATTGTTCTGCAGCTGAAGTATATGCAAAAGGCTGCAATTTCTCCAAGTGCTTGTCTGCATGTACCAAAGGAAAACTCTTCGACACGGGCTTGCATTATATACAGTACTGGAAACAACAGGGGACTGCAGATCAAAGAAGCAGAGAAATGGATACAATTGAACAGGAGTTTCTGGAGAGCTGTGCTCGTCATTATTACGAGCTCAATGACAACAGAGCCATGATGAAATATGTTACAGCTTTTGATTCCATGTCTTCAGCTCGTACTTTCTTGACTAATTTAGGTTGCCTTGATGAGCTTTTGTCATTGGAAGTGGAATCAGGGAACTTCCTGGAGGCGGCGGGCATTGCAAACCTGAAAGGCGAGCCTGTCCTTGAGGCAGATCTACTGGGCAAGGGTAGACATTTTAAGGAGGCATCATTGCTTATTCTGTGGTTTGTGTTTGCAAACTCTCTGTGGTCAACTGGAAGCAAAGGCTGGCCTTTAAAGCAGTTTCTTCAGAAAGAGGAACTTTTGACAAAAGCTAAGTTACTTGCGAAGGATGTGTCAGATCAGTTTTATGAGTTTGTTCACACAGAAGCTGAAATTTTATTGAATAGCCAGCACAACTTATTCAAGATGCATCAATGTCTTGTTTCTTCTCGGAGACATAGTAGTATCAGAGGTGAAATATTATCAGCTCGAATGATTCTGGACTTGCATCTTCATTTAAATACCTCAAAGTATTGGTGGGAAAATGACTTAGTGTCTGATTTAGCAAGGTTGTCAGAGAGAAACTTTTTGAAAAATCAGGTCTCTGCTGAGACACTTGTTTACTTTTGGAATTTTTGGAAGGATAAGATTGTGAACATATTCAAGTTTCTTGGACGTCTTGAAATGCAAGATGTAAGTGAATATGGAGATTTTGGTGAATTCTGCTTGAATTACTTGGGCGTGAAGAGACAGTTTAATAATCTGAACACTATCTATTTTCTGATGATCTCGGATGCTCAGTGGGTGAGGGACATACCCAGAAAATTTATCCAAAGGAAGGGGAAATTGGTTTCTGTAGATGTTCATCAGTTTGTCACTGCTGCTCAGGGTTATTGGTGTTCGGAATTGCTTTCTGTTGGCATGAATGTATTAACCAATCTTGAAGCCCTTTACGATTTATCAGTTAGGAATTCTTTGTCCCTCTTCTGCCAAAGCAGGTCTCTTACTCATATATATGAGGTGGCAAACTTTCTTTTGAAATGCCAGTTTCTAAGTAGTCAACACGGTGATATCAAGGCACTGCAGAAATTCACTAGACTGGCAACTGGATGCTTCTATGATTGCATCTATCCTTGGGACTGGAGAGAATCACTGAAAGAGAATATGATTTCGTTGAGGAGAACTGCGATTTGTAGGAATTTACTCAAGGAAGTTATCTTTGAAGACGTGAGCTCAAAGAACAATATGTCTTATGCGCAACTTGGAAGGATCGCATCGATGATTCTTGGTTCTGGTGAGATGTTATGTGAACTATATGAGAAGATGGCAGATGGTTTACAATGGAATTCTTCATGGAAGGCATTCATTGAGGATCTCTGTAGGAATGTGAGCGAGGTGTCCTACATGCGGAAGTTGCATGAAGCTCTAGTAGATACTTATAATGCCAACTGGAGGAAAGGAGATTATATCTTGCCTGGTTGTTTCTTGTACATGCTTGAACGCCAACTAATTTTGTTATCCTACTTCCAAGGCTATTGTTTGACAACAAAGTCTTCTTTTGTTGAATGGCTTATCTACCAAGAAGGCCATGGGAGTCCAACTTTTGAAAGTTTGACGAGACTTGCACCCCAATCTACAGAAAGCATCCTGAAGTTTATTGTTGACACTGCTCACCTCTTGCTTTATAATGATAAGGATATGATGGAGTGGATAAGAGTATCAGAGAAGAACGTGAAGGTCCTGAATGACTACCATGCTGTAGTAGTGTTGAGATTGGTTGTCATAATATGTTTAATTTATGTGAACTTTGGATGGTGTGAAGGCTTGCTTTCTGACTTGCTGGGTAGGAAGTATATCACCAAAAAACTGCCGAGTCAGTTTTATGATGCCATCCGGAAGAGGGAGGAACATAATTCTCTGAATGTAAATCCAACTGTGGTAGCTGAAGCATTTAGCAAGATTGGCAATCCTCTGGTAGTTGTGAGTTTTGGTAAAAATTGCTCAAGATTTTTATGTCCAGATGCTATTTTTGTGGACATGAAGATCAATGAAAGCAAAGACAACGTATTAAGAGTCTTGTTTGCAAAGACTGATGCTATAGCTCAGGATCACACGGGTGCTGTTGAAGCAAACACTAGGAGCTCATTCAAAGGAATAGTGTCTCAGGGCATTGAAAATCTGGGGAAGATAACTGAGCTTCCATCTAATGTTGGAGATACGGTGAACTGGAACTCGAGGTGCGGGAAAAAGGACGAGGGTAACCCTCCATTGCGCCATGACCGGCTTTGGGAAATATTTGAAGCACTAAAATCTTCGACCCATGGAGTAGATGAAAGAAGCAATATTGCATGTGATCCAACATTTAAGGTAACGCTGCTTTTCGAATTATTTTTTTAGCATGCTCAGAGAAATGGTTATCTCTTTCTGCTAATCATTTTATCTTTTATTTTTCAGGTAGATATAGACAGAATTACTTGCCTTTTAAAAGCAGCAATTGATGAAAATTTTCAGAACCCTCCCGGTGTCGATAATAAAAACCTGCTTGAGGAAGCTTCCACCATGCTTCACGAAATGGGGCAACTTGATGCTGCATTAGAAATGAGGTCAGTGTAAACATGATGCCTAGATCCATGGTATTTAATGAAGTATTTCATTCTACTTGCTATGATAATATTTCAAGTATATTTTATTTTCAGGGAACCAGAACATGAGAGCGACATTTCTACAATTGGAGAACTTCTCGAGAAGCTGCTGTCAAGAAGGCCCATGGTGGAATTTTTTCTAAGCCAGATATTCTTGCAACACGATGAAAATCTTAAAAGAGAGATGTCAGAGAGAAACATTGCGTCAGATGGCCAACGTGATGAGGAATATAATAACAGCAAGGCTGAGGGGAGTTGCGTTTCCGCTGAAGTTGAGATAAACATTTCACAGAGTAATGTTGAAACCGGAGGCAGCAATCCTGATATATAGAACAAGGGGAAGGGAAACAGCAAGTCTAAGAAAAACAAGGGAAAAGGAGGGCGGAAACGCAAGTGGCCTTAAACCTTTAACGAATTACGGAAATAATATTTCTCAAAAAAATCACCTTTTCTTCTGCATTTGTTTGTAGCAGTGTGATTTTTCCTTTCCTTTCCTTTTTTTTTTTTCCTGTATGGAGAAAGAAGAAAAGAAATATTATGAGGGCATAACACCTACGAAAAACTTGTAATATACTGCAATTATTTTCAATTATTTATGCTGACTTGTTCATCTCTCCAGTGGCAGGATCGTCAATGGTCAAATCTTACACCATACAGCCTCTCAAGATAAAAGGAACCGTTCCCTCCATAAAGGCATCCTGAATGTGCACTCTATTAATATAAATCACTTCAAAATTACCCATATTATTATATTGCACACTCTCCATCTTGCCTCATCATCCTCCACGTTCACTACCATGACATAATAACCTGAAAGAAATTGCAGCTCCAACTCCCAGTGATGCACATCTCTAACAAAGCCAACTGTCCAGTGAATAATTATATCATGGAAGACGCAGCCAAGATCTCACCAGATTATATTTATCACTAGCTAACTGTAAAAACTCAAGAGCTTGGCAGAATTTCTATACTGGCTGAAACTCTGATGACAAAGACAAAATAGAGAAGTTTCAGTTCAGCTTATAGCCTGACATGAGCTTAAAGGCATAGTTCATCTATAAACTCAACTCAAGGAAACCACAAGTCTCCGTTTGTATGGCATGGCCCAAAAGGCCCTCAAAAAGTGTTGGCGATTCCAAAGATTGAAGGTCTAAGTACACCTGTGGCCTTGTCATTGCAAAGAACCAACAGGAGGGCCTTAGGCCAATTTTTTCCCCAAAGTAATGACGCGTCCACTGCATAATTCTTGTGTAATGCTAGCAGGAATAAGTACACACGAATGAATAATCTATATAAGCCACGTGCAAACTAAACAAATTTCAATAGCAAAGAAACCAAGACACAAGAATCCACAATTCATGCCACACTCAGCAACCCTTCACTTTTCATAGTAAACAAAATTCAATAGTAAAGAGAGCAAGCGAAAAGAATCCACAATTAATGCCAAACTTAGAAACTCTTCAAATCAAAGTGAAGTAATCCAGGAAGAAGCAGAACAAAATAACAAAATCTTCCTAGAAGAAGAAAATTGGATTGACAGACTGAAAAGAATTCCAAAAGCATGATGGAGAATACAAGCCATTCTCAAAAACGTGAAAGCAATATCATGAAAGAGCAGCCCAATCCTGCCGAAATGGGCAAGGAAATTCCCCTAAAAGCATAAAAACCATGACGCAACAAAGAAGAAATGAAAACTATCCTATCCAAAACAATTGTCTTGAAGTGCACCGGTTTATTAAAATTCAATCATTTCTCTCCAACCAGGAACACCATTTAGACATCACAGACTGTACAATACTGCAAAGAGGAATAACAATCAATATGCAAACATAGTAAACTGTGGAGAAACTTCATTCCTAGGGTCCCCTCTCTATTGCTAAAATGGTATTTGCTCTTAATTAGAACTTTAAGTACCACTCACAGAGTTTTAGAAAGTGTTTCTTAAAAAAAAATTGAACTGTGGAGACAAATCTCTTCCTTAAATGCACATCATGGAGTTTGGATTATATATCAAATACTACAAGAATGCATTTACTTCCAAGTCATGGGAGATTGATAATTCATTAAGGAAATCAGGAAAATCTGTGCAGCAAGTATATTATCTAACTCCACATTTCAAGATTGATCTGAAGAATATTTTAAAACCATAATATTCCAAACACAAGAAATGCAGGCCAACAAGATATCATGTTTTGCAAGTGAAGCCAATAGTTTTAGCATTAACATGTAGACAATCCTCAAAAGGAATGATCAAAACCATTGCTGTGGTAACAATGCAAGTGTTACAGCTCTATAAAACTCAGTTCTTTTTTCTTTGTTCTTTTTAATTATCCTTGGTGAAACTTCAGCCACGTTTCCAGATCAATCCTAAACAAAATGAGATGGAGGATTATTACCCAACAATCCAATGTCTTCCTTCTCTATCTGGAGAGTAGTTGAATTCTCCAAATCATTATTACCTCAAAACTGTAGCAAATTGTCAACATAACATTTTTGTCAACATTTTTTCTCAACCACCCTCTCCTTTAACAACCACCATCAACCACTTCTAACCACCATCAACCACCCTCAACCACCCTCAACCAAGTTGCCAAGGCTCTCTTATAAATAGAGATAAAGAGAGAGCAATGTAATAAGTGTAGTGAAAGTGTGGTGAGACCGGAAAAACCAGACAGTGCCGGAAATCTTACCTGAGAAGACAGCCAAGTCATCCGACACGTGGCACTGAGTCACCATCCACGTCATCAATAGAGGGTCCACATTGCCATGTCATCAGACACATCATCTAACAGTGACAGAATATTCTCTTGACAGAATAAGAATATTCCGTTGACAGTAAGAGAATATTCCGTGACAGAATATTCTTCATCAGAGACAGAATATTCCTTCCCTGAGTTAACTCGGTCAGATTGATTTTTTGGCCAACTCAGTGATGTTTTGACCGGTTTTAGGCCGAGTCAAGTTGGTTCCTAGCATTTTCAACCATTCCGGACGCAACCGTGGTGTCCGTTTTGTGAAACAGCACACCCAAAAAGAAATTGCAAGATTCAATCTATGCAGAAAACCTAATTAAAAACTTCAATGTATCACAGTATTGTATTATTCAGCTAAATCAGAATCTCAGATTCACTACAACTCACGAATTCTACTAAATCTTGATCTTCCTTTTCTTGCTAAAACAACTAATAAACTAAAAAGAAAGATCCAGGAGGAACAGAGTAGCAGAACAACCATCTTGAAAATACCATTACAAATAAAAATAAAGAAATGTTAACCTTATTGAACCAAGGATCATGAAGGATATCAGCGCCACGTTTATGAACAATACAAGCACCAGGAATCGCAGCTGCGGATAAAAACCGCCGCTGCGACGAACTGCGCACATTCGACGCCACAAATCGCGCTACCCTCCACATTATTTTTCCCTCGATTCAATCAAGTCTAGAACTTCGCAGACCTTGCTAGCTGAATCGAAAAATCTAAAAAACAAAGAAAAAAGAAAAGAGCTTCACAGCATCTCAAATATTGACTGGTAATAATAATAATAATAATTCAACCAAGTCCACGCTTGGGGTCTGTTCATAATGAGTTGATAAATTATTATTCACTTCGGGCCATGAAAGTATTTTATTTTATTTTAAAATAATATTTGTTATTTTTTATAATTTATTCTTTTATATCAGCCTGTCGTGATAGGCTGCCCAGTGATATAACGGGCAGGAAGGGCATGTGTTGGAATTCAAGTGACCGGGGGCTGGTAGCACGTGGGCGGATTGGATTTGAATCGGGTAGGTTTACGGCCACTTAAGCGGGCGAGTCTCCTGTCAATGCCTGCCACGTGGATTCAGATATTTTGGTTAATACTTGATTTTCCTTTTCCTTTTATATTTTTATTTTAGCTATTAAGGTATATATGTGGAACAATTTTCATGGAGCAAGAAATTCCTAAAAGTAAAGAGTGCTAGGCAAACTATCATATCGGGATCAAAGTGTATTTACTAGAAATATTAAGCACCAGATTGGTTTATCTGATCATTTATGGGCTGTTCTGGAAATACAAACCCCTTTCTTTTCCTCCCCTGTAAAGAAAGTGTCCATCCTCGTTCATGCATCCACGTCTCCGACAAAGGGGGGACCAGAGATGTCTTTTTCAGAGTACGAATAAATTTTATTTGTAAATAATTTAAAATATTATTTTTTTAATCTTTTAAAATTTATTTTCAGTAATAGCACATGGTATAAAGATATTTAAAAATAAAAAATTTATTAACTTTTAAAAGTTCACTTTGTTGGAGGAATAAAATAAAGCATAAATCAGAAGATCTAGCTTGGGTGTACCTGGGTAGGTTTCGTCGTGTGGATCCCGTGTCAAAAAGTTCAATTATTTCTACCCGAGGAGGGCAAGAAGACACCACCATCATCGTTCATCGCCACTTAACGTTTTTCCGCATATTTCCTTTTTCACTCTTCTATTTCTTTTAATCATCTTTTGCGACGCAGCTGGGACTGTTTGACCGCTCAATGAGAACCCCAAGCTTGCAGTCAATTTCAGTTGCCAGGAAGCAAATTTGGATCATAGGCATCTGATTGTTTAGAGTCTCACCCAAATAGATCGCATCATTGTTCATTCTACTGTGTTATCTTTCACCTTTAATCCATCTTTTTCCTGAAATATAGTGCAAATACGTTAAAACATTGAAGAATTATAAGTCTCTGTCTTGGATGATGTTTTCTAAAAATATTTTATATTGAAAAATATATTATGATATTATATCATATTAAAATCATAAAAAAATACTATAAAAATATTACATTCTCAAATATTTACTAAATTCACAGCTCAAAAACTCCTTCCTCACCTGCCTAATGAATAGTCATCACAAAAAGTATTTCATACGTGTTTGGAACAAATTATTTTTTAAAGTATTTTTATAAAAGCATAAAAATAATATTTTTTTAATTTATTTTTTATATCAAAACAATTCAAAAACACAAATTCAAAATTAATTTAAAACAAAAAAATTCAAAATCTTTTAAAACAAACCAAACCAAAGCACCAAACACTCTGAAAGGCACACTTTTTTTTATCATTTTCCCAGCTGCGGCGAGGTGACTACGGTCTTTGTTCATTTGTCCTTGGTTTTCCTTCATTACGAGGAAAGGTTGTCCTCACTCATTTTCGACGTTTTATTTGTGGTCGAGGGCGACACATGGAGAAGGTCACTTTCACATGAAATAAAGAGTCCTGACCACCTTTGCATGAGATCGCTTGGAAGCCCTTCTCCACAGCCTGAGCCGCCCGTAGCTAGAAAGGTTTTCAGCTGCGATCTCGTAACTGTTACTATTTAACAAGCTTTCACACCCTACAACACAAGTCAATCAGTTTTTTCTCACCTTCTCTCGTTGCTCTGCTAATTCTTGCATTGTCAAAGTCAAGCCTTTGAAATTGAAGTCATGGTATGGCTCAGATTATAAAGAAAGGAAAAAGATAGCATCAAAATTGCAATTTCAAACATCAGTCTGAACATTTTCTTGATGGCAGAAAACAGGACAGGGCAATTTATTAACAGTATGATCAAACCCCCTCCTTAAGTTGTACGATTTAAATCTTATTCTAGTATTACCAGAACATTCTCAATTAACTGAAACCTGCAATCAAAAGATACAACAGGCGCTTTGCCATGCTGAAAGTTACAACTGAAGCTCCAAAAGTTACTGCACGTCATTGTAATCTTTAGTCCCAAAGTTCTTGCACCAGAGCTGTGATGGAATTGGGCGAACAGGATGATGTGGCCGTTGCTGCAATCAAAATATCTTCTCAGGTATTTAACAGAAACCAAATTATGATTTCAACCCCAAATATAAATTATAGACAAGTAGATGGTTGCTAACATTCTCTCTCTTCTCAGCTCCCTACTCTGCTCAGTTACTACTGGAGCATTGGACTTGTGTTAGAAAAGCTCCACACATATTTCGTAGATCATACTCATCCTTGTAACAAAAGGTGTCATTAAATTAAGTGAACACGGTATGAAACAAAGATGGAAAAACCAAAATATCCATGCACGTAAAATACATCAGCATCATGTCTATTTGATAGGAAGAGAGCTCCATAACAGTAATGTTTCAGTCTCTCGATAGAAAACAAAGAATGGTTCAACCATTCCCTGTCAGTCTATAAAACCTCTATATCAACTAGTTCCTTTCAACCTAAAAAGGGGTGAGATCAATCAAGGCTACAATCCATCAGAGGATCAATTAAAAAATCTATTCTCCCAATCTTTTTGTACCATCTCACAAGTCACAGCATTTCAGGAATGGATCAACATTCAATCAACTCATACCACCAGTCTCAGTGACCAAGTCGTTAGTCAACTTTTAAGAGTGAGGTCATGAAGACACCCCAGGGATGGAATAGTGCACTCACTAACATTAAAAAGCAAGTACATAGTTCAGAAAATAGCTCAGAAATGAAACTGGATGTGTGATGGTCAAATTAGAAACAATGAGAGAAAGCTAAAATTTGGCTGCTCAAGTAGTTAAACACCTTGGCTTTAAAACAGTCAAGTGCAAGACAAAAAGAATGACTTGCTTGAGATACAATCAAACACTCATCTCCAGCAGAATCCCAGACTCAACTAAACAGAACTTTAATCATCAAAACTTTTTTCCTTTGATATACAAGAAACTTGTGCATTCCTTCATTAGAACAATGCCCTGTGATATGATACATAAACTAGACATGGAGAAATATTATTACTTTTATTTAAAAGGTAGTGGAGATACAATTTTTAAAAATTATCTAATCTAGGTAGCACATTATGAGGATTTTTCCCTGTTTGTTCAGATCGCATCTCCTTCTTCACAAAATGATGGAGGAGATCAATCTTTTTATCTTCATTTTTAGGGGGCATTCCTCAATGGTCATGATTGTGATCAAGATAAAAGTGACAAAACCTATTAGAATTTCCCTGTGTTCATGCCACTCTTACTGCGAGGAAGGTACTCCACAAAATAATTTTCCTAAATGGCAAGAAATAATGGTAAAAGGTGTCGTCAAGAGTTTAGGGAATGACGATCACAAATGGATCTCTTAATGCTCCTCTTGGATGTCTTGATGAAAGATTGATGGTGTTGTTGAGATTCTGCTCTCTGAAAATAAGGGTGTCCTGGTCTGATATAACACTTGCTTCTTCTACTTGAGTATAGTGTAGCAAATTGTCAACATTTTTTCTCAACCACCATCAACCACCCTCTCCTTTAACAACCACCATCAACCACTTCCAACCACCATTCAACCACCCTCAACCACCCTCAACCAAGTTGCCAAGGCTCTCCTATAAATAGAGATAAAGAGAGAGCAATGTAATAAGTGTAGTGAAAGTGTGGTGAGAGCAAAAGGGTGAAAGTGTGGTGATTGCAACTGTGAGAGTGAGAAAATACAGATTTGAGAGAAACACCGAGTATAAGAGTGAAACACCGGGTTAAGTGGGATTGTACTGGGTTGAGTTAAGTATTTGTATCATTCCTCCAATAATATACAATCTGCTGACTCCGTAGACGTACCCGATTTTAGAAAACCACATAAATCTATTATTTATGTTTTATTTATGTTTGTTTTTGTCCAGTATGCAACAAAAACTTCAAAAACCAAAACTCAGTCCTTCTCATTTCACCCAAAAAGCTTCATCCTTGATAATGAGGTCCTCAAGTACCCCTCCACCTCAAACTTCTTCGGCGAAAGCTCACGATACTTGGCAAACTGCTTTTTTGCCTCCTCATTTCTATCAAGTAAACTATATATCATCCCTGTACAAAAATAAGGCCTGAAATCTTTAGGATCCTCTTTTGACAACTCTTGATAACTCTTCAACGCCTCCTCCACATTCTTTTGCCGGAACTGTATCTGTGCCACAATCAGCCTCACGTCCCTCGCTTCTTTCACTTTATTCTCCTCTCCAGAAATATCTAAAGCCTCTAGTAACCTTCTAATAACCGCCTCTCCTTCTCCACAGCGGTCCATTAGTAGTGCATTCTCGAACAAAAGCCTCAAAAGACAAAGGATTAACGACAAGAATTTCTTCAAACAAATTGCGAGCATCATGTGCTCGACCCCTTTCGTTCGGCAATCTTGCCATTAAAAACTTCCAGCCAGTTACCTCCGGTTGCGCAGATGCTAAAAGCTTTATAATCTTTAAAGCCCCTTCGTCTTGGCCATTTTCAAGTTCTTGTAGTAAAAGTGATTTCAGAGACTCGATCGCTTCAGCATTAGATTCAAGGAATAAAATATGGCATGGTTTCATGGAAAGATGTCGAAAATTAAAAAAAATTCTTGTTCACTGGCGCAACCTTGTTGAGTCATTTCATAGGCCCAAATTCAAAAAAAGAAAAAAATACATGTATATATATATATATAGCTGCGCCATTCTTGGAGGCCCTTTCTAAGCTATTTTTATCAATTTTTTGTTCACCCTTGCTGGCTCTCAAATTATTTTTTCTCACCATTCAATTTTTTTTTAAAAAAAAACTCCAATCTTTAAAGTCATGGAGTTTTTTTATTGAAATTCAAGAAGAAAATAAAGGTCTTCTTCTTCTTCTTCTTCTTAATATTAACACTTTCAGAAAATGAGAAGAATTCTTGTATATTTATCTGTTTTTAAGAGAAATTACCTTTCTTTGCTTTTCTATAAAAATTCGTTAGTCCTTCATTTTCTCTTATTCCAACAAAGTTAAATTTGTCCGCTAGTGTAATTTCTATGCTCTCATGTCGCTCCATTAGAGCAGACATTTGAGAGTGGGTGTAGAAGAAATCGTGTTAGAGAGTGTGGCGTTGATAGAGCTTGTGAAATTTTAATGGGCAGCTCTAGTTTTTCGAATTTTATTCATAATAATCATAATGTGGAGAAAGCCCTCGAAAACTTAGGTTAGAGCTGATTACTGACTTGGTCCTTGAGGTGCTCGGTAGGCTTAATTTCGAGGAAAAGATTGCGTTCAGGTTCTTTATGTGGCCAGGGCATGAAGAGAATTATTCCCAAGAGCCTTACGCTTGTAATGAAATGATTGATATTTTGACTAGTACGAAATATAAGAAGCAGCAGTTTCGAATAGTATGTGACATGTTTGATTACTTGAAGAGGAATAACAAGAATGTGGTTCCTGCTGAGGTTTTGTAACCATTTTGAGGAATTATACCGAGAAGTATCTGACCAAGTCCAGAAATTCGCCAAGAAGAAGAGGATAAGGGTCAAGTGCAGCGCGAAATGAATGCCTTTACCTTGTTGAATGCTTCATGCAAGTGTAGTTTGGTCAAGGATGCCGATGCATTGTTTAAAACGGTGAAGGACAAGGTTAAGCCTGACGCTAATACTAATTACAATTAATGTATTGTTTATTCGCTGGTGTGTATCGAGTTAGGAATCCGACTAGAGGAACGAAGGTTTTGTAGTAAATTGTCAACATTTGTAATTGTCAAATTATTAATATTTACAATTGTAAACATTTTTTTCATCTATCTTCAACCACCTTTTCCTTTAACCACCACCATCAACCTCTTCTAATCACCATTTAACCACCATCAATCACTCTCAGCTAAACTACCAAAATTCTCCTATAAATAGAGATAAAAAGAGAGCAATGTAAGGCTATGGTCCGGAATAATAGAATGGACGAGTGCTTTAAGCTTCTGGAGGAAATGATAAACAGCGGTTGCCTCCCTGATGCTTTAACATACAAAGAATTGATTGAAGGAATTTGTCAAGCTGGGAAAATTGACGAGGCTTATAAATTTTTGCAAAAAACAGGAAACATAGGTTACCCTCCCGGTATAGCTACTTATAAATCACAATAATTTGCTGATCTCAATGTTTTTTGAAATGGGTGATGTTGATGGGGCGTTTGAGACTTGGCATGAGATGGATAAGAGAGGTTGTGCACAGAATGTTGTTGATACTTGTATCTGAAGGAGAATATAGATAACAAGTATATTGGTTTCAGATCACCTATTATGGTGATTCTCATGAAATATATATATTGATAAAAATTACATAGCATTTCCTAAATTGTAGGAATTGATAATTATGACAGAAATATATTTGACTAAACTAAAGGAATTCACAACGATTATAATTAAGAGAGAATCATGATGAGATATACAGCTGGAACAACAGGAGTTCTATTTTAGGTAGAGGTCATATCTGAGTGGGAGTCATAAGTGATGGTGTTTGAATTTGATTTGAATTCTGGCTTTCCATGGTTATCACACCCCCGCAAGTTGATAGGCCGTGAACGAACCATAAGCTTGTTTATTAATAGAAGGAACTGAGACTTTGAAAGACCTTTAGTAAAGATATCAACAACTTGATCTGTAGTGGAGATATAACAGACCTCGAGTTCCTTACATACCACTTTGTCATAGATATAATGATAGTCCACTTCCAAATGTTTAGTTCTAGCATCGAAGACTGGGTTTGATGCTAATGATATGGAGCTGATATTGTCACACCAAATGCAAGGAGTTGAAAGACGTACTCCCAAGTATTTAAATAAGGATCTAATCCATGAGAATTCAGCTGCAGTGTAAGCTAATTGATGGCATTCAGCTTCAGTGCTTGATCTTGATACAGTACGCTGTTTTTTGGCACTCCAAGAGATGGGATTATGACTAAGATAGAAACAATAGCCACCTGTAGAGTGATGATCATCTGGCCAGCCTGCATAATCTGCATCAGAGTATGCTTCCAACATCACAGATCTGGGTTGGTAGAAGAGCCCATGGTCAGGAGTGTCCTTTAAATAACGCAATATACGTTTTACAGCAGTCCAATAATGTGTTGTTGGTTGATGCAAAAATTAACACACTTGATTAACAGCAAAGCATATATTTGGACGATTCAGTGTCAAGTATTGTAGGGCGCCAACAACACTTTGAAATTTGGTGGGATCCGAAAGAGGTTCTCCATCATAGAGACTGAGTTTCTTACCAGCATTAGCAGGAGAAGAGATTGGCTTGACATCTTGAAACTTTGTGCGAAACAATAAATCCATAGTGTATTTGGTTTGAGTGAGATGCAAGCCAATTGTGCTGTATACCGCCTTTAGACCAAGAAAATAGTGTAGCGGTCCCAAATCTTTCATAGAGAATAATCTGTCTAGGTTCTGAATAATACTGAAAATATAAAAGGTAGTGCCTATAATTAAAATGTCATCAACATATGCCTATAATTAAAATGTCATCAACATATATAAGCAGAATAATGAGCAAATCACCCTTATGAAATGTGAATAGAGAATAATATGCTTTGGACTCATAGAACCCAAGTTCCTCTAAATAATCAGAAAATCTTGTAAATCATTGACGTGTTGCTTGCTTTAAACCATAAAGTGATTTATGAAGTTTGCAAACATGATTAGGATAGTTTGGATCAATAAAGCCTGAAGGTTATCTCTTATAAACTTCTTCTAACAAAATCCCATATAAAAACGCATTTTGAACATCCAATTGTCGAATTGGCGATTTGTGATTGACTGCTAAAGCAAGTATGATGTGAATAGTGGAATGCTTTACAACCAGACTAAAAGTTTTTGTATAATCAATATCCTCTTGTTGGTGAAATCCATGGGCCACTAGGCGGGCCTTGTAGCGTTCAATAGTGCCATCCGAACTCTTTTTGATTTTGAACACCCATTTGTTAGGTAGAATGTTCATATCTGAAGTAGGTGGTACCAATAACCAAATACAGCTTTGTTGCAAAGCATTAAACTCAGCACCCATTGCTTCACGCCATTCCTCATA